CATACTCTCACTCTACAATCAGCTGTCGAAACACAACATCAGCTTTCATCAGAAAAAAACACAGGCCAATTTCGATGCTGAGTTGACAATCGGTGAGGACAGGAGCATGATATGGTCTGTGACAGCAGAGGTTTCTTTCGCGCAAACGTCGACTGTATCGGCACTAATGGGTCTGTTTGGAGTCCCATGGTCTAGTGTGCTGTTTCCGTTGCTCCGGGGAAGCGATCAAGCAGATGGTTGCACACAATCTGTCGGTCCTGACCATCTTCCTGATGGTCGCCCACTGCGTGGACGGTCTTGCATGTTGTTAGTGGCCTGATACCACTCCTGCAGTCGGTAGATTGTCCTAACATGAACATCAAAATGATTGGCTACCGTCCGTGCAGGGTGGCCAACTTGCAGTGGTCCCGAGGCTTGGTTCCTCTGATCTCTCGTAAGTCGTAGAATGACGATTGTGTCAAAACAAACATGATTTAAGGCGAGTTTGAGACTCGCCTTCATTGGGGTAGGGTTGTCACGATATGCACGTCCATGTTGATTTTCACGAATGTCATACGGAACCTTCTACCACGTCTGCCTTTTTAGGTGCGTTTGGTCGATATGTTTTGCCATCAGAGGACACACTGATTTTGGTCATAACTATCAAGTTGGATTGAATAGCATGTTAACAAAACGGTACAATCATAATAAAAACACTACCTTGTAAGAACAAAATTTTGCACTTGGTTTTGAAAGGTGACGTTTCTTTTATGGTTCAGTATATTTGTAAGGTTTTTAAGCATCAGGATCCACTTTAGTTGATGTGGATAATCAAGAAATTGAGATATGCTAACATTGATATAGCCTTTTATATAGTTTTGACATTATTTATGGATACATCTTGTTGACGTTTAAATATTTATGTCACAGCCATGGTATGCCTGACAGGTGCTCTTCGGAATAAGAACCATAACATGGCTCACTTACCTGGAGTTGATCAATATCAGCCACAAAATGATGCCAAATATATTGCTGAAAAATAATGTGATAGTATTGGGTACCTGGGACGCTCAACAGGAAATACTAGAGTGAGTGAGTGAGGTATACCAATATTCCTGCAATATCATGGCGGGGGACACCACAAATGGGCTTTTACACATAGTACCCATGAATACCGCTGTCATGCCACATGTTGATAGAATCGTCGTCGCCCAGTTGCAGAAAAACGCAATGGAAACATCAGGCACTACACGAGGAATGACAGAAGATTCTCATACTGGGAACGCGACACTTGAGTATGAAGGCAGGTATCAAGTATGAGGGCAGGTGGTAACAAGTTTAAAGGCCGATGGTATCCAGCATGAAGACAGATGACATCCAGTATGAAGGCAGATGGTATCCAGTATGAAGGCAGATGGTATCAAGTATGAAGGCAGATGGTATCCAGTATGAAGGCAGGTGGTAACAAGTATAAAGGCCGATGGTATCCAGTATGAAGGCAGATTACATCCAGTATGAAGGTAGATGGTATCCAGTATGAAGGCAGATGGTATCCAGTATGAAGGCAGATGGTATCCAGTATGAAGACAGATGGTATCCAGTATGAAGGCAGATGGTATCCAGTATGAAGGCAGATGGTATCCAGTATGAAGACAGATGGTATCCAGTATGAAGGCAGATGGTATCCAGTATGAAGACAGATGGTATGAAGACAGATGGTATCCAGTATGAAGGCAGATGGTATCCAGTATGAGGGCAGATGGTATCCAGAATGAAGGCAGATGGTATCCAGTATGAAGGCAGATGGTATCCAGTATGAAGGCAGATGGTATCCAGTAAAACAGGTACTGATGTGGTCGCAAGTAGTGGTTCAGAATCACAACAATAAATGTTTTCAGAACTGAATGGTAACCAGGCTGGTAGTCACGTTTCTGGGTTTTCCTCTCAATCTGAGTGATTGAGTGAGTTAATATCTTACGTCACATCGGCAATATCTCAGCCATATCGTGATGAAAACGATTTATACAAAAAAGATGAAAACATTTTGAAGAGTAAAACCCGTCGACGATGGACAATAAATATACTCGAGTATCACAGCTATGAATATAAAACTAGTATGTAAAAATAAAACATTTTAATTAAAGAAGACAATACAATATAAAACACGGGCTATAGATCGCCAACAACTGAAGGTAGATCACTATACTAGGGACTATGGGGACAGCACTTTTGCTACCTGCATGGACCCAAGCTGGGTTAACACAATTCCTTCAGCCATTGGCGATTGTCCTGATATGTAGTCATTATAAAACAACAAATATTCTACGATTAAAAAGGTTGGTAGAAATATATTGACCCTCTCTATTAAAAATTTGCCAAAACATATACATGCAATTTTAATTTTGTTCTGTTCAGAGCAAAATATGTTAGAGATGGCATTTCATGTGGTGTTTCGTACAGATAAATGGGATCGTGCCTGATTAATGATCATGTGTATATCATGTTCGCTGTTCTCCATCAATCACAGAACGTGTACCTTTCACTTAAGGCCTGTGGCTGCAACTGGATGTTGTATATTGTACGATAGCAAATATTTTGTATCAGGTGCCTGGTATCTTGTAACATATGACATTTTTTCTACGATAATGCCAATGTGTCAGTTTTTTCCGTACTAATCATCGAAAGCAAATTAATAGTATGTACGTCGAATTATCATATCTACGGCTTGTTCCCTTTGTTGTAGCGACACTTTAATCATTTATTTATCCAAAGTGATCGATGTGAATACATATCCAATGTTCAACTAAGATAGTTAGTGGCTGTATCCCCGAATTTATAACTATTTTAAGTAAGGATATGGCTGAAATACTGCCGCTGTGACTATAAACTTTAACTCACTCACTCACATATCCAATGTTCATAGCTTGGCACACTACATGTTGGGCAAACATTGCTTATAAAACTCAAATGACCCTCGTTCGGCTAACGTTGAATGATCAATATTCTGCATATTGTTTATGTGTGTTTAGGTAATCGATCCCCAAACATTTTGCAACAAAATTCGGTGTTTGAACCCAAAGTGTCAAAATTTCAATTTGATAACGTTTCTTTTCTTCGTCAATATACATAAAAGTCAAGCAAGTTATATCCATTATACTCCATATCCTTGATACCATTAACTTCGCACCTGACGATACCAATCAGTCAGATTGACGCCTCAAATTCAACACCAGCGGCGAGTAGATAGTTCCTCACTGTCTAGGCAGAAATTATAAATGATTTTATCATCATAACTGATGAGCCCGTATGAACCTGTTCTGCGCTGCAGTTGTGACAAGTGATCGACTGTATGTGAGTTGGTCAAGTGTTGGTCCCTGCGTCTCATAAAGTTCAATAGTCTTGTAATGGTGCTTGTCGATACGTGGACAAACCTGGCTACAGCCGAAGCCGACTCACATGTCTGCAATCGGTTGATGGCGTTGATGCCTTCTGGCAGTCGTGGTGTTCACATTTCACTTTACAATTATGATGACAGACAAATAAAAACCCGTTGTTTCCAAAGCCCAACAATTCATCACTTCATGTTGGCGTGTTAGAGCACAGCGCTCCCACATTGCTGCGTTTGTGCATTTCCCTCACGTTTTCCGTATTTTTTGCCATACTTTAATCTACTCACACAAACCACTCCCTATCCATGCAGACATGAGACATTCATATTTGCTTTTCATTTTGTATCAATACCAATAAAACACCATCAGATATTTATAAGTTTTCTACCTCTGCATCCCTTTTCTTTGTTTTGCAGACTATACTTTACCTTAAAGCTTTTAGCATTGTTTAATTTCACACACATATGGATATTTCGTGAACAGTGAGAAGAGTTTAACGTCGTTTGCATAGAATGAATGTGACAGAAAAAAAGTCTCAGCTCTATTTTATGAAGAAAAACTATAATATCTGCCAAAAAGTAGAAATTGATTCATTTGGAAATCATTCTAAGTCTCCGGCAAATACCATCTATTTGGGTTATGGTATACAGGCACAGGTCACGAACAAGGAGTCGTATAGTTCCAGTTGACTCCTTTCGTAGAATACTTTGGGATAAATACCAGGCTAGCTATTCTCGAAACGTTCGTAGCCCTAAGAACTTCTTAAGCCCATTCTTAACACATTGGCTACGATCATTTGATTTGGCCCCCTCCATGTTAGTCATGTACTACTTTGGAATCAGGAGAAACGTGTCTTTCCATAGTGTGTTCGACCACTGGGTAGCTGATCAATATTTTTGCAACGTTTTCAACCCAATCTCATTAGTCGCCTCTTACGAACAGCATTGACATCCTCGATAATCTCCAGGGAATACGTTACGATCACTCTCCACTATACTCTGGATGCATCCACGGCTTCGCCCGATAATTATATTACCTCCCTTTGCTGGCTCCGCATTCTCACAGTAGCCAATCAACTAAGCCGACGTTACATCCGAGCTTGCCAGTGTCAGCAAAGATAACGGTCGCAGTCGCGAAGAATTGTTCGCAGTGCCACTCAGATTTTGGGGGAAATCATACAGACAAATTGACATATCTAAAACTTTAAAATAGCATATGAAAGAACTCCTTCTACCTCTTTCAGAGTACCTCTGCATCAATTGTGTTGCCAAGTTTAAACGGTTAGATAATTTATGAAGCGAAAGTGAGTTGTGATTGGTTCGCTCAACTTTCCAGCGTAGACACCTGATTGGATAAAAAAACAGCAAAGGGAGGTATTAAAATCATCGGGCCAAGCCGTGGATGCATCCAGGGTATAGTGGAGAGTGATCGTAACGTATACCCTGGAGATTATCGAGGATGTGGTTGTTAGAGACAATTACAAAGCCCAAAACTTCAATGTTAGAAGGAGTCAGTCAATACCCTACAATTCTTCAGGTTTTAAAATGATTGGACAAATCTGTGTCGATTTGAAATGTTGACATCTTACAGAATCTATACTCTAAAACGTGTAAAAACGACAAGTTTTTTGACTGAAGTTCATTTTTCACACTGGATGTTTATTGGATGACTGCAATGACAAACAGGGTGAGTATAAGGAGATCCTTGACGACTGGACATCCACTTGATGTGATCCATGCTCTGCTGCTGTGTGGTAACGTGGCCTCTGTTCTGTAAGAATGGAAACAAGTCACAAGACGTGTAGAGACACTTCACTACTACTGAGGGGCGTTGGGGTAGCCTAATGGTTAAAGCGTTGGCTCGTCACGACGAAGACCCGAGTTCGATTCCCCACATGGGCACAATGTGTGAAGCCCATTTCTGGTGTCCCCCGCCGTGATATTGCTGGAATATTGCTAAAAGCGGGGTAAAACCATACTCAGTCACTCACTCACTCACTCACTACTACTGAGAACAAACTTGGTTATTATACACATAAAACCACGGGAACGTGTTTCCCATGCCGCCATACCTGTAAGGAACTCACACTTTCTCCCAAACACGCCCAAGGCCAATAAACTAGGACGAATTCAGTAAATACCCTTTTCCATTATGCAGGTGCGTGTTGTTTCCTGTCCGGGGCATGATCTGTGGATGTTCCTCTGGTACAGTTCGGAAAGGGGTGGTGTACACCAAGGCTGTGTCCTGGCCCACTGTGGCGAAGGTCGTGTTTGTTTGATTCCTGGTCCCTGGCAAACAAAAGAGAGATTGACGCGTACGAGACTCACCTATTCACTCTCTTTGATAAATATACAGCTTTTCTTAATATACCTTAGTCACAGAAATTATATTTCGCGTGTTGTCACTTTTTCTGTGTTATTTGTCACGAATGGGCATACAATTACCATGCCTTTCTAAACATGCAATCTCGAGTTAAAAGATGTGTCCTATTATGTTGATAGTTGCTCAGTCATTCGAAACTTATATTCATTTTGTTTCCTTTACTTGTTTTTAGATGAACATTGGTTGGCAGTTATTGCGAGTATTGTAACTTCAGGATAAATCTGTATACCCGTTCACAGACAAAATATATGGATTGCACAGGGAACCCCTTATATCGGGATAATAATTCTGGAAACCCGTTTTGAGAAGTTTTACTGTTTGGATCGTATATTACACAGTTACAATGATAAGTCATGTGGAATAGGATTTATACCATGACCAGAGTTGAATAGTGAGTGAGTTACGTTTTACGCCACTGTTAGCCATATTCCAGCAATATCACGACGGGGGACACCAGATATGGCCTTCACACACTGTACCAATGTGGGGAATCGAACCCGGGTTTTCCGCGTGACGAGCGAACGCTTTAACCACTAGGCTACCACACACCGCCCCCTCACCCCACCCCCACCCCAACCCCCACCCCCACCCCAACCCCTCCCAGAGTTGAATAGCAAACCCATTAACATACGGAGTCTTGTTACAAATTTAATTTAGTCATGTAAACATTAAGAAAACCAATTTTCAATCAGTATGGTATTCTATCAAACCAGCAGTGAAGCTTGATGTGTTAGACTTACCATCAACCCGCCGTATAGCTGGAATATTGCTGAATGCGGCGTAAAACTAAACTCAACTTACCTTCAACAAACATGGTGTATCCACAGTCAGGGAAGGTAGTTCCACCACTCCACCACACCGTGCTACAGGTATACCTCCCTGCATCACTCGCTGTAACATTGTACATAGTGAACTGTAGTCTCAGACCAAGGGATGAGTTGGTGATATTGACGATCTTCACCCGTGACCTGTATCGATACCATATACTGACTTGGGAGGACTCCACCGTCAGTACGCTCTTGTCCATGGGGGATCGAATATAAAACCTATGCCCATACATCTTCAGATTCCAGGTGAAGGTTGCATTGAGACCTTCCCGTACAGTTATGTTGTTTGTGTGATCCTCAGCCCTTGCTGTAATGTATACAATGCCATACTTGCCTTTTGTCTTTAACATGGAGAGTGTTGTGCGGTTGTTATTATTATAATTATTATTTACAGATTAATATAAATCCAAATCGGAGCTCATCACTAACTTAGAGTGAGTGAGTATGCTTTTAGACCGCTTTTTATACTGACGAATGACGTGCATGAAACAGTGACACCGTTACAAACCTGGTTGTCATGGGAACGTAAACATGCCACCCACCCACAATATACCCTGTTCCTTTTTAAAAACTGTGAGGTGGTGTCTTTCACATAGCGAACACGAGCCCACAACAAACCATATTATGTTAGCTTTATGTGTATGAGTGAGTGTGTGAGTTTGGGTTTACGCCGCTTTCAGCAATTTTCCAGCAATATCACTTCTGAGAACTGCAGAAACGGGCCTCACACATTGTACCCATGTTGGGAATCGAACCCGGTCTTCGGCGTGAAGAGCGAACACTTTAACCACTGGGCTACCTGGCCGCCCCCTTACAGTCCTTGTCCCCTTCACACGCCGTACACATGGAGCATGCTGTTGTTGCTTCACTTACCACGTCACAACGAGTTTCAACAGGCTATTCTGATCATTGTCCTCATCACTTTACACTTTCGGTTCAGGTAGATTAACTTTATATTTTCATGACAAAACCTGAGCTATTGAGTGAATTCGAGTTAATGTCTTTGAGCAGTAAATTGACCTGATGATGGAGTATAACGTGTTGAATAATACCAAGCCGGAAGATGAACAGAAACGACCGCGTTAACATCCGGAAGATTTCAATTTCACTTTCAATAAATCTGTTACACAATCTGATTTTCCAAGATGCCTTCATATCTGTGCATCGCTTGATATATGAATTTAGTACGTCTATGAATATACATCAAAAGCATACAGTAAAACTGTAATTACCTTCATCTGCATGTGTTCCTGGTACACAGCAGCTCACGATGACAAAGAGTAGGCTGAACCACAGCATTACCATCATGCGGTTTATAGGGTAATTTTCTGATCGCCGAGCGGGCTGGACGTGGCCTCGAAACATAAGAATCTCTACTGATACACGAGACAGTGACGGAAGTAATATCTGGTCATCCCATGAAAATATTTCCTTGCTTTCGTAATTTTAGATCTATCAACGCAAGATGAAAATGTATTTTTAGGAGCTGACTGTGCACGGGTTAGAGGTGGTGGTGGGTTTGATGGGGTAGATTAGAGCTGGTGTCGGGTTTGATGGGGTAGATTAGAGGTAATGGTTGGTTTGGTGGGGTAGTTTAGAGGTGGTGTTGGGTTGGATGGGGTAGATTAGAGCTGGTGGTGGGTTTGATGGGGTAGATTAGAGGTAATGGTTGGTTTGGTGGGGTAGTTTAGAGGTGGTGTTGGGTTGGATGGGGTAGTTTAGAGGTGGTGGTGGGTTGGATGGGGTAGATTAGAGGTAATGGTTGGTTTGGTGGGGTAGTTTAGAGGTGGTGTTGGGTTGGATGGGGTGGATTAGAGCTGGTGGTGGGTTTGATGGGGTAGATTAGAGGTAATGGTTGGTTTGGTGGGGTAGTTTAGAGGTGGTGTTGGGTTGGATGGGGTAGGTTAGAGGTGGTGGTGGGTTTGATGGGGTTGATTAGAGCTGGTGGTTGGTTTGATGGGGTAGTTTAGAGGTAATGGTTGGTTTGGTGGGGTAGTTTAGAGGTGGTGGTGGGTTTGATGGGGTAGATTAGAGGTGGTGGTGGGTTTGATGGGGTGGATTAGAGGTAATGCTTGGTTAGGTTGGGTAGTTTAGAGGTGGTGGTGGGTTGGATGGGGTAGGTTAGAGGTGGTGGTGGGTTGGATGGGGTAGTTTAGAGGTGGCGGTGGGTTTGGTGGGAGTAGGGTAGTGGTTAGGAGGTGGTGGTGGGTTGGATGGGGTAGTTTAGAGGTGGTGGTGGGTTTGGTGGGGGTAGTTTAGAGGTGGTGGTGGGTTTGATGGGGATTAGTAGTTTAGAGGTGGTGGTGGGTTGGATGGGGTAGATTAGAGGGGTGGTAGGTGGGTTTGATGGGGTAGATTAGAGGTAATGGTTGGTTAGGTGGGGTAGCTTCGTGATGACGAGTGGGGTAGTTTAGAAATGGGGTTTGTGAGTTAAGTTTAGAGGTGGGTTGGATAGGGGTTAGTGGTGGTAGGTTTGATGGGGTGTTAATGGTTGGTTAAGTGATGGCGATGGGAGAATATAGTAGTTTAAGTGAGGTGGTAGTTTAGTTGTGTTAAGTGATAGCGATGATGGTGGTGGTTGTGTTAAGTGATGGCAATGGGTTAGTGGGGTAGTTTAGAGCTGGTGGTGGGTTGGATGGGGTAGTTTGTGATGGCAATGGGTTAGTGGGGTAGTTTAGAGCTGGTGGTGGGTTTGGTGGGGTAGTGTGGTGATGGCAATGGGTTAGTTGGGTAGGTAAGAGTTGGTGGTGGGTTTGGTGGGGTAGTTTGGTGATGGCAATGGGTTAGTGGTGTGGTTCAGAGGTGACGGTGGGTTTGGTGGGGTTGTGTTAAGTGATGGCAATGGGTTAGTGGGGTAGTTTAGAGCTGGTGGTGGGTTGGATGGGGTAGTTTGTGATGGAGGTAGTTTAGAAGCTGGTGGTGGGTTTGGTGGGGCAGTGTGGTGAGGCAATGGTTAGTAGGGTAGTTTGGAAGTGGTGCAGGTTTGGTGGGGTAGTGTGGTGATGGCAATGGGTTAGGGTTAGATCTGGTGGTGGGTTTGGTGGGGTAGTTTAGTGATAGTGGGTTAGTGGGTTGGTGATGGTTTGGTAGTAGTGTGGTGATAGCAATGGGTTAGTGGGTAGTTTAAGTGGCAGTGGGTTTTAGTGGGAATTGGTTTAGAGTGGTGGTTGGATGGTAGTTTAGATTGGTGGTGGGTTGGATAGGGTAGGAATGAGGTAGTGAGTGGTTTGATTGGGTGATTAAATTGGCAGTTGGTTAGGTGGGAGTAGCTTCATGATGACGATGGGGTAGTGGGGTAGGTTAGATCTGGTGGTGGGTTTGGTGGGGTAGTTTGGTGGGGTAGTTTGGTGATGGCAATGGGTTAGTGGGGTGGTTCAGAGGTGACGGTGGGTTTGGTGGGGTAGTGTGGTGATGGCAATGGGTTAGTGGGGTAGTTTAGAGGTGGCGGTGGGTTTGGTGGGGTAGTTTAGAGGTGGCGGTGGGTTTGGTGGGGTAGTTTAGAGGTGGTGGTGGGTTGGATGGGGTAGTTTAGAGGTGGTGGTGGGTTGGATGGGGTAGATTAGAGGTGGTGGTGGGTTTGATTGGGTAGATTAGAGGTAGTTTGTGATGGCAATGGGTTAGTTGGGTGGTTCAGAGGTGACGGTGGGTTTGGTGGGGTAGTGTGGTGATGGCAATGGGTTAGTGGGGTAGGTTAGAGGTGGTTGTGGGTGAGTTTCTTAATGGCGATGGGGTAGTTTACAAGTGGCGATGCGATTTCTGCGAAAGTAGTTCGAACACTCACATGTGACATTCAGGATGCATTCAGTAACATCACTGAAGTCTATCAAGTCCAAGATTGATATAAAAAGCCACACAAGCTAAACCATATATTTTCCTTCAGATCGAACATTGTTATATTCAGCCTCGGGTGCACAGCGAGTGTCGAGTACCAGTAGAAGTCGGAGCACGCCACATCTTTCCATCAACAGACTGAATGTATGCAATGATACAGAGTGTATTGATTTCCACCTGTATACCGTAGACAGAAGAATATATAGCTACTCTTAGTACTTACTGGCGGCGGTCTTGGCATCAGTGCACCATACACATGGCATGTAATTAGTTTTAATTTTGGTATCTCTAGCCTAATAGGTCAGGTTGTAAGAAAACGTTACCATCACACTGTCACCGAGCTAGGACGTCGCGGCAGTGCAAGCCTTAACCGTTGTCCTTCATCAGCTAACTGGGTATCGTCATTGCTCTTGAGATCTGTTTCATCTCCAAGTGTCCCATTCGCTATGGACTTATAAATCTATCATGTCTAGACAGTTAGCTTTCATTTATAATGGGAACGTACATTCCTGGTTAGGTCGTGTCTCAGTCTCAAGAATCAGAATCATATAAATAACACTTGCTAAGTGCAGCCTGCATGTAGATCATTCTTGACAGTTGGCATTCCTTTTTAAGATGGGGTGGTCTATGATCAATATCAATGTTAAAATATATGTGGTTCATGTGCAGCTGTCCCAAGAATTGCTTTATCCTAAGTACTTTAAATTTTGTACATTCTTTTTGTGAAAACAAGATCTTAATAAACATTTGTAACATATCATGTTATTCATTGTGACTGGTGTCTCATTGCCCAGTCGTTTCATACCATAGCATCCATTCTACCAGTTACCGTACCGTTCGTTCAGGCATCATTACGAAACCCGATATGCTGTATCCGCCCCTGTGTTGATCACTTGAGGGTCTGGATTTTTACGGACCACCGTCATAGTCATAATTGTTAGCGTTTATTGCAAAAAAGGCCATTGGCCTATAGATAAATCATAATTACAATATGTAAACATATTCATTCTGTTATAATCATTCATTGAATTATTCAAAACATGGATATTTACATTCAGTATGTTGGTAGAATAATCAAGCAATAGAATTTCTGGCTACAATGCGTGATGTACATACAATGCAAGATCAGACAAAATTGCTTCATTTCTTTTTTGGTAAGAGATTAGCGAAAAAGGTATAATTGACATGATTATGAAAATAATATCTTATTCGTAGTAACTTAAAAGTTGGGAACGAAATGATACACTGGAATTCATCGCTTATCAACAACTTAAGAATATATCTGACTTGGAATGCGGTGACCTTTTAGAGCATGTTACCTCTGGCTACTTAAATTGACTAAATAGCACGCCCCATGAAACGTTGTGTCACATGAAGTCTTTCGTCAGAATTTATATTATATATTGTTGGCGTTCATAAACTGTAATGGTTGTGGCTAGACTTGCACTTGCACTGATCACAACTTCTTAACGTTTGTTTGTTTAGTTTGTTGTTTAACGCCACCCTCAGCAATTTTCCGGCTATATGCCGACAGTCTGTAAATAATAAAGTCTGGACCAGTGGTTGACATAATGAGCATCGATCAATTTGGATACGATGAATGTAGCGCGCCTGACCACTCGATCCCGTTACGAAACACATTGGTTGTTGAAGACGAATTCTAACCCCACAGGTAGATGCAAGAACTTGATGAAGTATTACGTATAAATAATGTGAATACGCATAACAAACTCAAACGTAGATATACAGTACACAGTTAAACCTGGATATACCGCCACCATCCGTCCAGACACATTTTGGCGGTATATCCAGGTGTGACTGTATACAGATATCGCGATGTAGGTCGGACACATATTGGTTACACCGGTGGGGTTGTGTTTCATGATGGTTATTACACCATAAATAACTATGATACATTCCTGGTGGCCTGAAATTAGATATTATATTGTAAACACACATCATGTTTCTGATGTACATTTACGTTCAGCGCAGCACATATCAAACTATCAGCATGGTCTATACATGAACACAGGGACCATTGTTGCTCGATACGTTGCTTTACACTCAATCATAATGAGCAACAGTGTAGTACATGAATGTCAATGAGGCTGACAAACGTTGACGGATATCCTGATAAAACGGAAATGAGACCGTACAGAGCAACCATCAAATAACTGTTTAGTGAAGACCGGTCATTTAATATTATGCGATAACATTTTCTTTTCTGGCCATTCTCCGTCGTATTTAATATTATGCGATAACATTTTCCTTTCTGGCCATTCTCCGTCGTATTTCCCCAAAGAACCAAATTTCAAAACGAGAACTTCATGTAAATTTTCGGAAGTTGGTTGTTGAGGAGAATGTGTTCATGCCAAAGTGTCTTGCATATCAAGTAAGAAATAGATAACTAACTATTTGGTTTTCACTATAAATTCAGTGGTCGTCGCTCTGTCCTTGTGAAGGAAACCTTCATATTTCATTATTCAGGTTTACTTTCAGCAACTGTGTTAGCATCTTCCAGACGAAAATCTTGCTTCATTCAAACATGTCCATCGTGTCTGGTTGTTTCGCCATCGCATCACTGATATCTCCGTATCTCTGATAATACTTTCCCTAGATATACATCAACATTCATTTGACACCCCTTTCCGTACAAGTGAATCTCCCTCCTCTTTGACTGAATCTGGAAACTGTTTCACAATATCACGTCAGATGCTATTCTCAGCGCTGTGTCTGGTTGTGTGCAGCATATTGTGGGGCTAACCCCAGTCACGGTCATCGGAAGGAGGTGCCAAACAGTGCCAAACTGTTTCTCGAGTGAAAGCAACAGAATTACTTTTGCACCAAGACTATTTCAAGGTCATACAGAGTCCGGTTGTTACTCTTCATAAATATTGTTTCTCCGATTCCCTCTATCCACTCTGCACTCTGATTCCGCACCAGTTTCTAATTCAGAATAATCCATATCTCCTTGGTATTGCTCCGTGCTTGTTTCATGCTCCAAGGTGGGAGTTGTCAACCTGATTTCGTCATATCCGGAACTACAGGTACCATCTACCTTCTGTCCTGCAGCTGTCATATCATCAACGACATTGCAATCAGGATATGCTGGATGCTCCAATGTGGGATTTGTCAACCTGACTTCTTGACATCCGGAGCTTCTGGTATCATCTACCTTCTGTCCTCCAGATGTCGTATCATCAACGACATCATAATCAGGATAGGTGATGTCTCGGGCTGGCATATGGTGCATGATTGGAGCTACACATGAAGCGTCTTGGCAGTCCTTGCTACCTGGAACAGCTGGGTGTCGATGTGGCATATACGTATCCTCAATAACATCATTGTCTCGATCAGTCACTTGGTGGAGGGTTGTACTTGTGTTGTCTGTAGCCGTTATATAATAGTCACGAAACCTGATAAACGATAAATATATGTATAATAAGTCTTTTGACTCGTGGGATGCCATTCAACAAAAACTGAACAAGGCCAAAGTGTGCTATGTTTTTTAATGCTTTGACAGTATGGCATGTGTCCACCAAATGTACTGACGGCTTTGAGAACCATATTCCCCACTATTTTACTTCATGCTATACAGGGCGGTGGGGTAGCCTAATGGTTAAAGCGTCCGCCCATCACGCTAACGACCGGTGTTCGATTCCCCACATTGGGATAATGCGTGAAGCCTATTTCTGCTGTGATATTGCTGGAATATTGCTAAAAGCGGAACAACACCATACTCACTCACTAATTCAATATGCAACATATTATGGAAGTGACACAGCAATCCCGTGACTACCAACCAATACACACTTCAATATTTGCATTCTTACTGATTCAATACAGCCAGCAGACATGTACTTATTCAATTTTCATGTCTAAGATACAATTCAATCGCACGCATTCTCAAGATATATTTGGAACAAGTATATTTCGAGACAATAGGACGTACCTTTGATTACAGTTATCTGCAACAAAACAAAAATACACTATTTTAATAGTCTCCTTCATTTAATCTATATCATGTCTTGATATGTTACAGATATGTCGGACATCCAAGCTGGATGAACTTTGTCGAATAGATAAACACAATACTCACACGCTGATCGACGTATACGAGGCGAAGGTTCAGGATACAATTACTAGATGAATATATCTTAACCCCAAAATACCATTATATCGCAGTGGTTTACTACTCTTCCAATCTTACCTCTGTTAGCCTTCCGGCTATGAAGAACGACAGCAGCAATTGCAAGCAGGATGATAACCTCTAATGAACAGCCAATGATAAAACTAATGGCAGGTATGGTCGGAAATGGAATATCTACAAGAGAACGTACAAGGTGTAAGGGACCGTTTATAATTTTGATGATGAATTTTTTGGGCGGTCACTTATATTTTTCTGGGGAGGTGTGGGTGGGGGTGGGGGGGTGTTTCAACGATTTTGTACGCATGTACTAGGGCGTCAGCAATTTAGTGCACAGTAATATTTAAACATTATGCTTTAAAATTATGGGACGGGGGTCATTGATTTTGCACAAGATATGCGGGGAGGGGCGGTCACTTACTTTGTAGATATTTTTTTTTAGGGGGGGGTATTCACATTGTACATGCTTCCCCATAAAAATCAATATCACCACACTCCCCGACCCCTAGCCATACATTATGGACGACCCCTAAGTATCAAAATACAGTGGTAACTGTATTAAAAACTAACATTTGTGGAAGTTTCGAGCAGTACAGTCCTTACTTCTGTCGTCTCTTGAACTTGCAGTATAATATGCAACTATACACCTGTGAGTTTCAACACATAGACATTCCTACTGAACTCAGCGTACGCCGTAACATACATTGATGTTTAGATATGCACGTGCTAAAATCAAAGGTGAGCATCACGTGCAGTATGTGTACCCGTCATTAAGCAAATATCAAATTTCAGTGAACTGTTCTTACAGCTCGATAACTTGGGCAATCATTTTATTTCGTTTTTGATAAGCACATATGGGGCCTCCGCAACTGACAAGAGATAAAAGATGGCAAACGATTGCTATGCGGAATGCTTGCATGTCAATGAAATGGCGTTATCAGCCATCCATTGGCCAGAAACCGTCAGCAAAGTAATACGTTGAGGACTGTCAACGTTCAGGTCGACCTAAATATAACAATCCCAAGGGACAATACCCCACTTTTCTGAATCTTTTTTTCTAACAGAACCACCAAAAAGTGCTGAAAATGGCCAGGTGTAGAGTCAGCGTCAGTCGTCCGCTGTTATCTCCTACTGGAATTTGGTGTTATGGGGAAGGGTCGATAAGCAGGACGACAATCGGCGCCGCAGAAACAATCATGCATATGCACAGTGAGAATATCTGGGAGCAAGTACCGTTTGACGGGGGTTCATTGATGATGTGGGTGCTTCTCACATGACTGTAAGCTGAATGGACTAGGGTACATCACTGACATCGGAAGACAAGGCTAGTCTTTTTGTTTACATAAATCTGATTATTTGCTGCTCAATGCTTAACATTGATCGGTCACGGACAAGTTGCGGAGTCATTTCGGCGCCTTGTATGTCGTCACTGACGAAACAGGCTACTACCCTTGACATTGGTAGAAGGTGAAATAGGTCGCGAGACTATTGACCTTTTAGCACCTAACAGGCACCTTGGGTTATATCAGATTGTGCTCTTTGAGCAGGATATCTAGCCTGGAAATGGCGAATTATAAATATTCTCATTATTATTATTATTGTTGGCGATTTACAGATTTTAGACAAATAAAATCAACTAATTGGAATACCCTTAGGTTGTCATACTTGGTGTCACAATAATCAGAAAGACTGAGGACATAGCGTTTATAGTGAATGAAACACTGTCAGAATGTCTCACATGACCACATTATTCGATAGCTATATTCTAAATTCCATACACCAAGTGCATGATCAAAGCGCATACAAATTAACGATCATAAGATTGAGCTGAGTTCATGAATCAAATGACGAGGCATGACTTAAGTTAGAGGGCAGTTCATAAGTTGATAATAGTATAGTATAACATTTCATAATGCAACTATAGGAAGTCATGAGTGAACGTATGACAGTATACAAACTTTGTTTCGCAGTGAGGACAAACTCGCTGCTCCATCCTGACACCTGTCCACCGTGTTCAGTGCTCTGGCATGAATACTTTCCTGTGTCTTCTTCTTTGACATCAGCTATTGTCAAGTTGGGGCCTGACATCTGATACTTTCCTCCACCCAGCAGGCTCGTGTTGTCTCTCCTCCAGCTGTAGGTCATGGCCAGGTTGTGGTCCTGGGGAAGACTTCGGGACGTGGAGGAGCATGTCAACGTTGCTTCCTGATTCAGATGGATCCTGTTGGTGGTGATGTTTGGTTGTTCCGGTGATCCTATGGTTTGTAGGAACCATGATAACTAGTTTATGTTCCCTTATTATACCACATACATTCAATTCTGCAACTGATGGGCATGCAAACAATTCTGCATTACAAATGGGATACTGTTTCTACTTATGTAGCCCTAGCATGGTGATCTACATTCGGTTGTTGGCAATCTATAACCTGTTTTTATAATTTACCTTTATTCAATATGAAGTTAGAACCTTTTGGTAGTCACGATACGACTGAGATATTGCCGACGTGACTTAAAATCTTAACTCAGTCACTCACTATTTATGTAGTGTTCACAATGACTTGCCTTCAGTTTCAGAATCAGACCCATCACTGTTCAATATTTAAATGTACTCACGGGAAAGAACGAGAGTGTGTCCACACTGGGGAACGTGGTGGTGTCCGCTGACACAGAGGTATTCCCCTGCATCACTTCCGGTGATATTATGAAGCAGTAAACGTACAATGACAGATTCAGATGAAGGACGAGTTCCCCTGATCTCCAGTCGAGAGATGTAAGTGTCCCCCACATTCCATCTATCAGACAGCTTCCACATCAGATGTGGACCCGAGGGAGACGTGATGTAGGACCTGCTGTCCATTGAGGGCATCTTCCACGTCATCATGGCATCATCTCCTTCTGGCACCACCGTGTAGTTCTTATTGTCATCAGACCATCCTGCAAAGTATATCATGCGTATTGTACATTTGTATTGAACCTCAACATTTGATACTACTATCTTGAAAACAGTTGCTGTGGTGCAGCAACAAACAACATTTAGTGAGTGGTATATCAGCCGGTATCTTGTGCAAAAGTGACTCGGACAGAAGTCATTTCCCTCCTAACTTCATGTGCATACCGCAAGCTTAACAATGAACTAGGTACAACGCCACTGTATACTGACAGGGACATTAAGCTCAGGCTCGTCTTCATATCTTTTACAACTAGAACAAGATGAAGCATGGCCGTCTGAGCGGAAACTCCTCACGTATAGGGGAAATTTCTTCACTCCACTCAGAATGAATCTTCTCGACTCCAATCCGACACTTGTATCTGTAGTTTTCCTGCCAGCCATCACAGATGATCAACGTACTGGTGAGGTTTATCTGGCTCCCATCATACACACGATTCCACGACTCAGAAGATGCCATGTGGTTCCTCTCGCCACCATACAGCCTGGCATCGTTCTCTCTCCACTCGACAAACACAGTTTGGTAGCTATCAGGGTGGATGCTTATTCTATAGTTGCATGCTAGGTTCACAGTTCCGTTATGTTCCCGTTGAAATAGAATGAAGTGGTCTTGAAAATCTGCAATGCAAGGGATCAAATATATACAAATCTAATCATGTGTTCTCACAATGTGTTACAAGCGCCAAAGGCCCACTGGTGGGGCTCTACTTACAAACGCGTTGACAAAGACAAATTGTCCTTCTGTAATAGATTCATGGAAAACTGGAACGATAGAAATAGTCACCTGTTAATGCTGCCTATGACACAGAAAAACAAAACTTGACTCAACAATAACCTGTGGTTTCTAACTAGCCGCGGGGTTACTGGGGGCAATGAATGTGTTTGACCCCTCCCAGTGATTGATACTCTCTACAAGCAATGTCATGGGATAATGCAATATTTGGGTACTGTGTTACATGCAAGGATGCATTTTACAGCAAGTCCCAGGGTATGAAAGAGCGTTAGCTTTAAATATAACCTATAATTCATGACGCTAAAATATTTATAAACAGGAACTAATTTAAATATACTGTTCTTTTATTCGATTTTGTAATTTTCCTAATTATGTACAGGAAAGCAGTATATTCGATATAATTGTTGACCCTGCACACATCCAAACATAAATATACATATAATTTGTTATAAAAACGATTGATAAGGACTGTTCTGGGCCTCTAAAAGTTGTACCATCATCTCAGGCGGTATAAAGGATGGAAGCCGTATGATCAAAGCTTGCAAGTAAATGCACCTGTAAATAATGGTTAGGCCTGTTCCTATGAAATTAGCAGTTACATACTTCACCTCTAACGTCAAAACAGCACGATGAAGCTGTTGATATAACATGATGATTCCTACAACGTTCCCTTTCACAAAGCCACCCAACGGAGAAAGAAATAGCCGGTCCTTCACGTGTATTTGTGAATTCGACTTCTGACGACTGTGTCCGTTTTCATGATCATTTTGCGCCGTGTTGGGCCACTCAAAGTTTGTATCCCTTGGAAATGGACGAGTGTGTCTAATAACATCGCGATCATTCGTAAGTGTCAGCAGTCTAAAGTCATACTGATACGTAACCTCCGTAACCACCTATTTGACCCTTCTGCTAATTTCCGTAACGTCTAAGTAATCACTGTGAAAGTTCGGTCAGTTAACTGTCGAGTATTCATGCAACATAGCCCAAGTGTTTTAGTAGCCTGTTGCATGTCATAGTCAGACAGCATGTGTCGAGTGTGATTACCCATGACATGGCCCTTGTAAGAGTGCCGTAAAACGTTGTTTGTCACCGGAAGTACTAAAGTCTCGCAAAATGCCGTGACCTACTTACGGGCCCTATTCATCCTGGTGACAACATCGCCTTTAGCACTTTATTTCAGTAATTCTAGGTAAAAGTATCTTAAACGTTTAATGGGGGGTTATTGTTGCCGCAATACTATGAAACGGATACACACCTGTAACCGGCAAGCACGTGAATGTTTCTTTTTGAATCAAAGTCAGCAACAACACAAAGTTTGGTTTGAAAACATACAGTACACAATAAGCTCACGTGCGGATTACAATATTACACCCTTCTACAGGTACTCACCTACAACGTGAAGTGTTTGTCCACAGTTTGCTTTTCTGACTCGTCTATAAGGAGGAAATGGCGAGTCTACGTAACAGCTGTACTGACCAGCGTCAGAGGAGGTCACGTTATACAGATGGAAACTGAAGGTTCCACGTGTGTAGGACACTGTGTTGACATTAATCCTGGTTCTCAGTTCCTTATCAGTAATTGTCACTTTATTGTTGCCAGTTATCTGAAACATTACCCTGTAATCTTTCTTTACGATGAACTCCTTGATGGGAGACATCGCCCAGGTCACAGTCACATGTCCTCCAAGGCGAGCATAGTCGCCTGCAGCAGCTGAAATAGAGACACATTATTGATCAGCTGAAATATTGCAATGATCGCCAAACCAGCACAAGCTCCAGTACGAAATACATCTCTTGTAAGACCAGGATATAGGTACTGCAAGATGAACACAGACGCTTAAACAGCAGGACACGATAAAACGTCAGTTGATTTACTCGCTGTAATTAAACTGATGGACCTCTGTTATTAAATCTGATATATTATATTCCGCTTCACATGTCACAGAACGAAAACATTCTTCACATACAAACTTTAAGCAGAAATGCAGGAACAGTAAACAGTGTTCACATTTCTGTGTGCTGAAGATAATAGACCGAATATACACGAAGGGACGCTATGTAAGTAAAATCAAATTAGCATTGCTTACTTGCCGCTTGAGAATAGTTACCATTCCTAAGGTAGTACAAAACTCCAGCATAAAGTAAGCAGCTCCACACGTGTCGCATTGTGCCTCTGTACTACCGACAAAGATCAACTGTATTTATTTTTTGACTTACTAGTGTATGAGGAAACAATTATTTAAACAGAAGGATTGAAAAATATTTCCGTTTGAGTTGTTCTGATTTACCCTAAAGTGACGAACTTTGTGTTCGAAATCTTAAACATACAAACAAGAAAACTGGTTTCTGACTCACTTTCGATTTCTGATTACTCACCTCAGTGAGACGGAGGTTCTCTGTAACTCGTGGCATGACGTACGCGCAGTTTAGTTTGAAATTTACGTGTGTTTTCCACAACATTCAGGTGGCTAGCGAATAATCAACTGTTCTTAATTTTTCAACGACCCGTGAAGGTCCGGATTAGAATTGATCTTCATTAACCCATGCTTGTCGTGAGAGGCGATTATTATTTACAGACTCAATTATTTACAGACCGCCGTCAAATAGCTGGAATATTGCTGAGTGCGGCGTAATACTAAACTCACTCACTCACTCATTTTTCAACATCATGTGTGTGAACTTCAGGTGTCAAAAGGCATGCAAGAAGTGAGTGCGTTCATTGTGCACAAAGTGCACTTGCAATGCGCGATACGTGACATCAAAGTTCTTGCAAAGTGCTGTGCTACATGTTTATTTAGGGATGTTTTTATATACTTTTGAAATAACTTTTATTTTATGCTATGCACAGTTACAGTCCGATAGTATATGTACTGTGTAAGCGATGACTGACGACAATACTGTTAAAAACATTATAGATTTGTGAACTGATAGGATGTACCGTGTATACGAACATGGTCAAACATCAGAACAATTTCTAACTAGAACCACTGAGGGTCATTCCATATATTATCTTGCTTTTTTTGTGAATAATCTAGATTAAGAATGCAAAATACACGTCCGCCACAGAGAAGAATCACTCTCGATTATCTTACGAATATGAGATGTAAATTTGTACTCACGCACTTGGCGTATGAAAGAAAAGATCTCGTTTACAATTGATACTCTGTGATAACTCTAGCTGAAAAAAACCGTATGAAAATTGTAACATATGTTATATTTGGGATTACACTTTCGAACCCACACCCTCAGAGTCAGGCACCTAATTGCCAGCACACAAAGTCAGCCGCCTAGCCCGCTCAGCCACCGCGGCTTCCACGAAAAATGGGAAACTGGTAGTCTAGACTGCGGACTATGTGTAGCCCTCTGATAAGTGGCCGAAAGCTATGACTAAACAATGCCATTTAGAAAGTGGTCGAATGTAACATATGTTATATTTGGGATTACACTTTCTTAGGAAAGTACAGATTCTAGTACTTTTGTTAGGTTGAGTCACGGGATTCGAACCCACAACCTCAGAGTCAGGCACCTAATCGCCAGCACATTATTGTGGAAGTCGCGGTGGCGGAGCGGGTAAGGCGACCTCTGACGGGTTAGCATATTCTGGTATTTTCAGAATGCCAACCCAACGCAGATATTCCACTGAAGATGAATGATGTAGTGCAATGTTTCATCTTTGAAAATGGATGACGTCATATCGTATTGCTAATACAATCAGTGAAATGGCATTGTTTCAACTGACCAACTGACATTGAAAATCACTATCACAGAAATACCAGCCAGTTGTCACCCCAGATCCGTCTAACCCTAGTAGGTAGTTTCCTGCTCTTTCCGATGCTCCGAGTCCCTAGTATGGTGATCTACCTTCAGTTGTTGGCAATCTATAGCCTGCTTTTATATTGTATTGTCTTCTATAGTTAAACGTTTTTAGCTTTTCATTCCAGTTTTATATCTATATCTGTGATCCTCTAGTTATTTTACTGTCCTTCGTTGACAGGGTTTTATAATTTGACTTTAGTTATTACAGCGTTATTTATTATTCAAATCCTCGTCACCATATGGTTGCAATATTGCCGATGTGACGTTAACTTTTAACTCACTCACTCACTCCGATATCATCTTCGTCTGTATATCTGTAGCTAAGAACGACTACGTACATATCCACCAAGAAAGGTTTATTATATACATGGTTTGAAGGAGGAGGTATGCACGTTGCTTAAGCATGCAAGCATATAATTTTGCATGGTTGCATATTATCTTTAGGTGCAGTTGTGATCATATCACCACAATATTGCATATAACTAAACCGGTGCGATAAATATCATTATTATAAACCTTCTGTTTCCACCGGTCTGTGCTGATCCAATAAAAACGTGTTAGTTATACGAGGGCGTACGCGGTGACACTATGTAAAACTTGCTAGTTCCGTGAAAACCAACATTGTTTCTGAACTTTCACTACGGAAACAGAAATGACGAGGTTATGATAACTGCTCAGATGTCAGCTAATTTGGGCCTTAAAACAGGGACCCCGTTGTACGGCAGATAGCAGTACTTTCTGAAACACACACACACACCCACACCCACCCCCCATGATTTTTACATGAACGCTGTCACGTTGGTATATTAGTACAGTGTTTCACTTTCGCTGATGCTTGCCTTGCGGGAAACACGTGGAAATTGCATGATGCCGATGATAGTTTGGGTTTGAAAAAAATCTATCCTTTATTTAATGTTTGTTTGAAAAATAATTGTCATGAATGCCACATTCGTCTTTGTTGGTTCGCCATGTTTTGGTCAAGTGAAGTCAGTGAAAGATTTGTTTTGAACACACTGGGAGGTGATGCTGTAGATGTGTGCGTGCATTCGTGCACAGGCAAACTATAGCGCAAATAGGGTTGCGCAACACAGAGAAAATGACCAGTCTTCGTATATGCGAGGGAAGCAAGCATGCATATACGAAGACTGGTCATTTTCTCTGTGTTGCGCAACCCTATATGCGCCACAGTTTGATGTGCACATGAGTGTTTGTATGAAATGTGTGCATTGCCTATTTGTGTACGTGTCAAGTTTTCAGGCGCCCAGACTCAACATATTCCATCTAGCAATGGTCTGCAGCATGAAATGAGCATGCTGTTCCTTGTTTACTACGAAGCTTTTGATATACCCGAATCTGTAACAGGGAAATCAGACACTGAAACACGACCTTTGATCAAACAGTCAGCCATCTCGCTCAACATGACTATTGTATCCGCTTTACGCAGCGTTCAAAGGTGAAAGAATGACGTAACTGAACGTGCACATCACATGAATACCACATTGACATAAGCCGACAATCTGACTAACTGACTGAGTTTAGTTTTACGCCGCTTTTAGCAACATTCCAGCAATATCACGGCGGGGGGACACCAGAAATGGGCTTAACACATTGTGCCCATGTGGGGAATTGAACCCGGGCCTTCGGCATGACGAGCCAACGCTTGAACCACTAGGCTACCCCACCGCCCCCCCGACAATCTGAACGAACAAGTAGACCGTAGTTGTTTGCAGCCAGTCTGTAGTAAATAGTTGTTGAGAGAGTTTTAACCTGTTTAATATCATAAATATGCAATGCCTGACAAAACTCTGTATGAAGATGAATGTGATAGATATATGCCATCCATGTTTCACAAATACAGACAACTACATGACTGTATATAGTGAATTGTTTCCACCTTTATCGGGCATAGACACAATATCAATATGTGTCGATCTCATACATAGTTTGTTGTTTTGGACATGCAATTCTCGGATATTATGAAATACTGTGTCAGCCTTAGTCATGCAGCTTTTATGAAAGCTTGGGGACTCCCCTGACCAAGTTGCACAGGAAGTTATTTTTGTAAGATGATTAAAACAACAAACAGCAACATGTGATTCAGTATTCACGTCTATATTCGATTTTGAAGCAACAATTCATTCGTGAATGTTTTATGCAGAATTATTTGATGAATTTTCTGTTGGTAAACAAACACAACCTTTCGGGGTTCAATGAAATTTTATTCTATATGAGCATCATTATAAACAGTGTGCAGGAGACGATGTAGCTCATAACAGTTATATGTACATATAAAATATGAAGCTTAATAAACAATAGCTTTGCATTAACGATTATTACGATATTATCTGAATGAATAATAGACACGCACACAATGGTATTGTGTACAACCGGGCTCAAGTTGATAAATATGCAGAGAAACATAAAACAACACTAATAAGAGATGACGCGTATCAGTTGACACGGGGGCTGTGTGTAATCAGTCCATGTTACGCATATAGAATACACTTCTGAATACGCATATGAAGCAACAGGTTATCTAGACTACAGAAGGGTATATAGAGAAAGATTGAAAAACAAATTGTTTCTAAAGAAACTCTCAGGCTCCTTCGCCAAGAGCATCACGTGGTCTCCACCTCAGCGCGCAGGATCCTGGTGGGTGGATCGGTGGATGGGTGTCTGAGGGTGACGAGAGGGCACGCGTTACATCTCCAGATGAAGATAGATATTTAGCAGATTTAGTCAACTCAAAGTGAGTGAATGAGTGAGTTGAGTTTGACGCCGCTTTTAGCAATATTCCAGAAATATCACAGCGGGGGTACCAGAATTGGGCTTCACACATTGTACTCATGTGGACAATCGAAACCTGCCTTCGGCGTGACGAGCGAACGC